ATGCGTTTGTCTGCACACAGGCTAAGGGCAGAGAAGGACTTTAGGTCTTTTCCTCTGTTGCTTTCAATTTTATGAGATGCGGCATCTCAGTTGGCAGACTAGCTGGCTAGTAAGAGCCAGAGGTCTGTTGTCTCCACCACCTCTTGCAACCCCACAAGTGCTGGGGTTACAGATGTTACCTCGTGCTTGCATGGTAAGCACTTCATTGACTGGGCCACCTCTCCACCCCCCAGTTATTTATCTAAACCCAGTACTGGTTCTCTTATTTGTTTGTTTATTTATTTTGGTTTTTTGAGTCAGGGTCTCACTATGTAGCTCTGGCTGTCCTGGAACCCACTATGTAGTCGAAGCAGGCCTTGAACTCACTGAGATCTACCTATCTCTCCCTACCGAGTGTTGGGATTAGAGGCATGTGCTACCACACCCAGCTTGATTCTTTTTTTTTTTTTTTTAATAACATTTATTTGATGAGGAAACAGAAACACATGCACTGTAGATTTTCACATTCTGGATCTGGCAGATTGCTTCCTTGTGGCTTTGCTTAACATAGTATGCTAGTGTCTGCATTTCCTTCATTAGACATAGGTTCAAGGTTCTGTGCTAAGGTCAGAATCTTTCCCAAGAGCTCTATGCTTCCTACTGTGGCGACACACAACACCTGTCTGTCCATCAGTGGTGACATAAGACCAATATGTCCATGCCAAAATATTCAGCGCAGTCCCTAAGCACCGCTATCTGCATTAACCCTGAGATGTACATGAAAAATAAGATGCAGCCGGGCAGTGGTGGCACACGCCGTTAATCCCAGCACTCACGAGGTAGAGCCAGGCGGATCTCTGTGAGTTCGAGGCCAGCCTGGGCTACCAAGTGAGTTCCAGGAAAGGTGCAAAGCTACACAGAGAAACCCTGTCTCGAAAAACCAAAAAAAAAGAAAAGAGAAGAAAAATAAGATGCAAAGGAATGAAATCATGAATAAAGATGCAATGAAGTATAATAAAATTCTAATGGCAATATCTATATAGGAAGTGGGTACAAGGTATTCACTACAAAATTCTTTCAATAAATAAGTATTTCCCATTCTTATGTACAATTATTGTGTTTTATACACACACATAAACAAAAGCCAGGTGTGGCAGTACACAAATGTAATCCCAGCAATGGGGAGGTAGAGGCAAGAGGATCTCTGTGAGTTCTAGGCTAGCCTGGTCTATATAGCAAGTTCCAGGTCAGCCAGGGTTACTTAATGAGACACTGCTTCAGAAACCAAAACCAATTGGTGGCGGCACAAACCTTTAATCCCAGCACTTGGAAGGCAGAGGCAGGTGGATCTCTATGAGTTAGAGGCCAGCTTGGTCTACAGAGCTGGTTCCAAGACAGCTATGGCTATGCAGAGAAACTCTATCTCGAAAAACCAAAATCAACAAAAAAATAAACAAAAACAATAACAACAACAACAACAACCAAAACCACCAAGGGGCTGGAGGGATGGCTCAGTGGTGAAGAACACCTGCTGATCTTCCAGAGGACCCAAGTTCGGTTTCCAGCATCCAAGTCAGTTGACTCACAACTGCCTCCAGATCTAGGAACTCTAACTCCTCTGTCTTCTGAAGGCACCTGTGCTCAGGTACATATGTACACACACTTCAAAAGTAATAAAAATAAATTCTTTAAAAAGAAAAAAAATAAATAGCATTACTAAAAATTATTTCAAACTTGAAATTTTTTATAATATGGAGGAGGCAGTCAGTTTCACTGGGTATTTTGGGCCTAACACATATAAAGTCTTCCATTCACAGCCCTTCTAATCATTTTGGCAGACAATGGTAATCATTACCTAAATCTATAATTTCATAAAGGTTTGCAAAATGTAATTTTCTAGTTCTTTTTTAATGGTCCTGGCTGTGATCATCCTGCAGGGTAAGTAGTCTACCAGTAATTATCCGAATTGCCAGCCCTGTGATTCTCCTATGGAGAAAAATGTCCCTTCCTTGCTTATCTGATTTTGCTGGCATCTAATTACTATAGGAAAAGCAAGACAAGTGCTTTCTCCATTCCCTTTGATTATCAATTTACAAAATACAGACCAAATGCCCTAACAATCTCTAAAGAATCCTGTGAGCTTTTAAAAACCATTTTCTGTCTTCGATGCCACTGACCTCTGAATACTGTAGTTGTGCTGTGTGCTGCAGCAGGAGTCCCTTCAAGGTGGCTCCTGACTGCTACTGCCACGGCCTCATTAAATTCAGACAGCTTCCTTGTGCCTGGGCACATGAAGCTGCTGGAAGTTTATAATGTACAATCTTCGCCCTAGACCTCAAATCAACCTTTATCTCAGAGAGTTCTGAGCACCTGAGTAGAAAACGGTATTTATAGACTCCACTCTGGACCTAGGGCACTTACTGCTGCGGACTGCCATTGTCCCTGGCATTGACAGTGGACCACACTAGGATTTCCCATTTTTTAAAAACAAAAACATTAATCATGCATTCATTCTAATATTTCCAACTGAAATTCAAGAGTATCTGGCTTTTATGCAAGTTCTTTGGTTTTTATATGTTTTTCATATACCAAAAGTCTTCATTCCTAATAGTATCAACCAAACAATTTATAACTTATTTTCTTTGTGTGTGCACACATGTGACTGTGGCATGTGTGTGCTTCAAAATAATATCCCAATATCATCACTAGCAGTGAAATGACAAAGGACAGTTTGGTACTTCCTGGTGGTTCTTTTTGTTCTGGAACGTTTTAACTAACCTGTGCGAAGGGTGAGTTAATGGACCACTTCATCTTTTGTCCAGTCCAACCCCACTGCTCCTTAATTAGGAATGAGGGAGGGAGGGACAGAAGCTCAAGTCCGATCAGCTTTTAGACCACCCCCCTTCCACCCAGCACCCCAAGACAGAAACAGACCTGGATGGGGAAGGCTTCAGGAACCAGATACACCAGAGGGACAAATCACCCTGCTGAGTAACATGGGGTCAGTGAACTGAAGGAGTGAGGGGCCTGGACACAATCAGGAGCACAATTCCCATTAAACAGGCAAGCTAAGTCAGAGCTGACAGGCAGCAGCTAATGTTCTCAGCGGGAGCTCCAGCGAAATGCTGCTTAGCAACAATGACAGCCACACAAAGAGCTGGAGGGTCGGATTTGGAGTGACAATCATACCGTCTCACAAATGACTCGTCACTAGCCAAGCACAGCGAATTCTGGTTAAGGGGTAAAATATGCTTCCTGTATTGTCTACGCATTATTACTTTTACCTCCTACTTTTAAAGAAAAGGTAGTAAAAATAACGGCTCACTCAATAAAATTCAGGGACTGACCCACTCAGGAACACTACCCTGAAACCACTGGTTTTAGGATATCTTAAAATTGCACAGGATGCAGGAGATAAACTGTGAATCTGAGGATATATAAAATTTAAAGTGATCTTATTAATATGTTTTTTGTTGTTTTTTTAGTTGGTTGGTTGGTTTTTTGTTTGTTGTTTGTTTGTTTTTTGATGCAGGGTTTCCCTGTGTAGTCCTGGCTGTCCTGGAACCTGTTCTGTAGACCAGGCTGGCCTCGAACTCAGAGATCTGCCTGCCTCTGCCTGCCTCTGTCTGCCTCCCGAGTGCTGGGTTAAAGGTTGTGTGCCACCACACCAAGACTAACACTTTTTTTTCCAAATTTGAATTCCAGTCATTCTCAACTTGTGTGTGTGCATGTGCGTGTATATGTGTGTGTGGCATATGCATACATATGTAAGTACATGTGCCTGTGTGTATGAGGGAGCCAGAGGAGGAAGTCAGGTGTCCTGCTCTATCCCTCTCTACCCTATTCATTTGATACAGAGTCTTTCACTTAGCCTGAACCTAGGCTGGTGGTCAGCAAGTCCCAGCAATCCTCCTGTCTCTTCCCTGCACAGAACTGGGCTTACAGGCACATGTGTGATCACACCCAGCTTTTTACATGGGTCCTGGGTATCCAAACACAAGTTCTCATGGCTGCACTGCAAGTGCTCTCACCCTCTAAACCAGTGGTTCTCAACCTGGGGGACGCAACCCCTTTGGGGAAGGAGGACATGGGTCAACTGACCTTTTCACAAAGGTCCTAAGACCATCAGAAAACACAGATATTTAGATTAATAACAGTATCAAAATGACAGTTATGAAGTAGCAACAAAAGTAACTCTATGGTGGGGTCCCCACAACCCGAGGAGCTGTATTCAAGGGTTGCAGCATCAGGAAGGTTGAGAACCATGGCTCTGAGCCATCACTCCAGCCCTTCCTTTACAACCATTAGCCCATGTGAAACCTTAAAAAAATAAAGACTTTCAGGCTCTCATTTGGGCATATTAAATCAAAACCTCTAAAAGGAAGCCAGGTAGCAGTATATTTTTCAAAGGCTAGTTGATTTTATTTGCGCTCAAAGTTGAATGTCACAAATATATAAAGCAGTTCCTGAAGTTTTCTGTATGTGAGACTCACATGAGGGGCTTGTCCAGCACATGGTGTAGTATGAAAGGAGTCAGATTCAGCTGGCCCAGTGTGAGCTTAATTAATAGCCATCATGTTTAAGCAGAATTCCAAGAAACATGGAAAGGGTGCCACCATTGCATTCTAAACAACTATTTTTTTTTTTTTTTTTTTTTTTTTTTGGTTTTTCGAGACAGGGTTTCTCTGTGTAGCTTTGCGCCTTTCCTGGAACTCGCTTTGGAGACCAGGCTGGCCTCGAACTCACAGAGATCCGCCTGGCTCTGCCTCCCGAGTGCTAGGATTAAAGGCGTGCGCCACCACCGCCCGGCTCTAAACAACTATTTTTGAGACAGTGTCTCAGTACATAGCCCTGGCTGGCCTGGAACTCACTCTGTAGACAATGCCTGCCTCTGCCTCCGAGTGCTGGGATTAAAGGTGTGCACCACCATGCCTGGCTAAGCAATATTTATTTTTTGAAAAAATGTAAAGAAACCAGCATATCAGCAGGCTGGATCCAGAACGTGACAGACAGCTACTAACCTGAGTGATGTGTGTAAATATCTGCTCAGACATTCTCTCACACATAACAGCCAGCACCTGCAGAACCAGCAGCTTCCGCTCTTGGTCTTCTATGAGGAGAGCCTGGTGTTGCTCTAATTCCAACAGGCTTGTAGAACACGAGGGCGTGGGTTTGACCTCTGCTTCATTTTCCACTACCAGATGAGACAACTCCTGAGGCAGGGGATGAAAGACAGCGAAGAAGAAAGAGCCAGTGGCATTAAGGACTTGGCAAACATATACAGAAATTCACATCCAAGGAAGCAATCTGTATTTGTTACACACTGCTGTAATCTCAGCTACTCGGGAGGCTGAGGGAAAAGGATTGAAGGTTTGAGGCCCACAAGGCTACGGAGTGAGTTCAAGACCACCCTAACAATTCAGTGAGACCTGCCTCAAAATTAAAAAGTAAAAAGAGCTAGGGGCATAACTTCATGATAGAGTTCTTGTCTAGTATATATAAGCCCTGGGTTCAATTCCCAGTACTGAGAAAAAGGAAAAGAAAACATAAGCTATAGAGTAATATGCATGTTATGATACCATATATATGAACTTACACACACACACACACACACACACACACACACACACACACACACACAGCACTGGTTTGAGGGAAAAAACCAACTCACGAAAGGTGTCCTCTGACCTCCACACATGCACAGTGTACATACATGCACACACATACTAAAACATACACAAATAAATAGTGTAAAAAAAGAACTTGACAAAGTTTTTACTATATTTTCACAATTTCTCTCACTAGCCTTCTTTGAACTGAGTCCTCAGGTGATAGAACAGCCAAAGTCAGAGACCATTAGATGGCTTTCCTTCAAGGTAAGTCAGAAATCAACTCTATTCACAGTGAATTGTGGGCTTGGGAAGCTTTCACTGTCCTCCGTTGTGAATTTCCACAGAAGGAAACCCTTAAGTTCCCCAACAACTAGCGCTTTGCTGAAGTAGCTGACAGCCAAGAGTAATGGTGCTCTACTGCGCCCGGTAATTTTCCTCCCTGGGGGATGTTTGGAAATGTCTGCAAGACATCTTCGATGTCATGATTGGGGGTTAACACAGGCATTTAGTGAGGAGAGGTCACAGATGCTGCTAAAAATCCTACAAAGAACAAGACAACCACACCAGAGAACACACTTATCTAGGCCAAATGTCAATTTTGCCAAGGTGAAGTTTCCCTGGTTTCAAGCAGGGCTTCCTAAACATTTCCACTCACAATCTCTTTTCCCTGAGAAATTTTAATACAATTCCATGTATGGTTGTACATAAAACAAGTATACTAGTCAAGCAAATAGTGGTAATAAATTATAAAGAAATTTACTTTAAGACAATTCTTTGGCATACATATGCTTTTATCATTTATTAAAGATGAACTAATTTGCATACTAATGAGATGGGTTTGCTTGATTAATTTTACATGAAGAATTCAATATTGAATATTTGATACTGCAGGATATACAGCATCTTCAATGTTTCTCAGACTAGATCGATATTTTGATTTTTTTTGGTTTTGGTTTTGGTTTTTTTTTTTGAGACAGTTTCTCTGTGTAACAGTCCTGGCTGTCCTGGAACTTGCTTTGTAGACCAGACTGGCCTCAAACTCACTGAGCTCTACCTGCCTCTACCTCTCAAGTGCTGGGATTAAAGGCATGTGCCACCACAGCACGGTGACATTTTGATTTTATAAACATCAATGCAGAGAACTCAAATTTGCTTAACTATGTGATACGAAATTGGAGAATCAGTTGAGGGCCATTTCAGAACTTACTCAAAATTCTGACCTAATCAAAGGCCAAAATTCATTTAATAATTCTTTTTAATGAAAGATCAAGTTCAGCAGCCCAGTCAGCAATTTAAAAAAAATTATTATTGTATATGTGTCTGTGTGTGGGTTTGTTCATGTGAACGCAGACACCCAAGGTGGTGTTGGATCCTGTGGCACTTGAGCAGTTGGAGCAGCCTGACATGGGTGCTGAGAACCAAATTCAAGTCCTCAGGGAGAGTAGCAAGGGCTCTTAACCTCTGAGCTTCTCTCCAGTCCCTCAACCAATACTTTTTAAAATAAAAAAAATCTAACAAAATAAAATTAGAAGATAAACTAATTTAATATTTACCTGCTGAGGAATGATGGTTGGAAAAGTATTAAAAATCTTGGTTTTCCACAGTTAAACCACTGTTTCTATAAAAGCAGAAAGCGCTGTAGTTGATACTATACGACAACCTCAAATCAGAGCGTCGATGTCTCAGGCTGGGCTTGTTGGCACTGGGTGCCATGAGGGCCTGCACTCTGCAAAGGGCATATGCTGAGTGTTCAGAACCAAGGCCTCAGTGACACTGTGTGGTCCAAGAGCTGTCAGAAATGCCCTGAGCTCATTCCCCATCTGATTTTCAATTAAGTTTTGGTTATTTTGTGGTCAGAAACCTTTTAGTATTGACAAATGTTTTGTGACCCACCCCCACATTCACTTATGTGACCTCATCTGGGGTCATGACCCACAGTTTAAGAAGCTTGTGCTGGCTGGATAGAGTTTAGCTGGCAGGGTACTTGCCTAGCATGCACAAATCCTTAGGGTCCATCCCTAGAACTCTGAAACACATGCCTGTAATCCTAGCACTCAGGAAGTAGAGGCAGAAAGATCAGTTCAAGATCATCACTGGCTAGATAGTTTGAGGCCAGCCTGGGCTACATGAGAACCTTCAAAAAACAAACAAACAAACAAATCAACCTGGGGTTTAGAATAAAGCTCTTTGAGTTGGTAGTGGTGATGGCACTTTGCTCTGTTTTTGGAAACAATCTCATTATGTAACCTGTGCTAGCCTGAAATTCAAAATCCTTCTCCTGTTTCTGCTTCCAGAGTGCTGAGGTTACAGACATGTACCACCATACCTGGCTGGTTTAGATCATTAAACAAAAAAAAAAAAAAAAAGAAGATTCATTTATTTTTCTTTTATGTGTATGAGTGTTCTGCCTGTGTGTATGCATGTACACTTTGTGTGTGTGTGGTGCCTATATAGGTCAGAAGGAGGCTTTGGATTCCAGAAGGCTGTAAGCCACCATGTGGGTGCTGGGAACTGAACCCAGGTCCTCTGGAAGAGCAGTCAGTGCTCTTAACCAAAGAACAGCTGAAAACAAAGCATACAAATAAGAGCATCTCTCCTTCGAATATCAGTGTGCGGCTGAGATGGAGAGGAGAATGAACATGGAGAAAGCTTAGAAAAGAAATATCCCTTTTCCAAGTTCTAGAAGCACTCAGCTTCGGATTCCCAGCCACCACTCAACCTTAAACTCCACAGACCCTCCCTTAGGACAGACTTGAGAACTGGAACAAACAAAGATGGAGGTCTCCAGCAGACATCAGGCGGAGCTAATGCTATGGGGTGCAAGTTACTTCTGGAGATTAGGGCCAGAGGAAACACAGGGCACTCAGCAAGAACCGGAAAGGTTTCATGTGGCTACAGAACGAGCTACAGAGCGAGCTAAGGAGGGAGGCAGAACGGCTAAGTCTCCTTTCCAAATACCTGACAGCACAACCGTCAGAAGGGTGAGGGATTACTCTGCGGCTGTAAAACCTGCTATTAACTTCAAAAGACTTCTGACTGTCAACACAGAGCGCAGATTAACTCTTTCCGGCATCAACAGGGCAGCTTTGTTCATGTCTAACACTTCAATGCAAACTACCCAGCAAAGGAGTCAGAGCGCATCGGTCCCACGGATGCGTCTCTCTCTTGACCACTCCAAAGCTATCGGGAACTGAATTGCTCTTTGTCTTCTGTTCATTTGCCCTCAACTGGAAGCTAAATTTTAGGACCTAAAATTATGAATGTCTTAAAAAGTCAAAGGCTTTCTTGGAGCTGCCCCAGAATGAAGAGCTGTGACTGTGAGCTCCTACCTTCAAACAAAAGATGAAGAAGTCTCCTGCCAAACCACACTGCTGGCAGTGGGACAGCAAGTCCCCAAGATGCTCCATCTGGCTCTGCTCCGAAGACACCTTCTGGTACAGGGCTTCATCTTCATCATCGCTGCAACAGTGGGTAAGAATGTTCATGTCAGTGTCACCAAACACAGCATTTTTCTCTTGAAACCTCCGTAATTTTCTTTTTTAAAAGTTTATTTTATTTTGTGTGTGTGACTACAGGGGCACATGTGCATTGGCATAAAGCTGCATGTGGAAGTCACAGGACAATTCTCAGGCATCGGTTCTTTTCCTGACACCTTGTGGGATCCAGGAATCACCTCGGGTCCAGGCCTCAGCACAAATGCTTCTACCTACTCTGTCAAGTCAGAAGGCTGAAACCTCATAATAACCTTCTAAAGTAACACTATTTCCATGTAGAGAATCTTTAGACAGACCTTGAAAATATTTTCCTTGATGAAGAATACAAAGTGTTTATTATTAGAAGTTAAGCTACTATACCCTGTATGATCATTTATTTCTCAAAGATGAAACGATTCCTGAAGGAAGTGGCTTTCAGGATTATCATTGAAAAATTAAAACAAAAAATGTCAGGTGTGTCTAAAAAAAAAAAGAAAAAAAAAAGATGATCATTGATGCTGGGTGTGGTGACTCATCCCTATAGTCACAACTTGGGATGATGCAGGACGACTGTTTCAAGTTTGAGGCCAGCCTGGGCTACTACATACTTAGACTAGCCTAAGATACAGTAAGTGAACAAACAGCAACAATAAAAAGGATAAGCCCAGAGGTGGTGGCACATGCCTTTAACCCCAGCACGCAAGTGGCAGAGGCAGGAGGCTCTCCAAGAGTTTGAGGCCAGCCTGGTCTACAGAGCAAGTTCCAGGATAGCCAAGGCTACACAGAGAAACCCTGTCTCAAAAGCAATCAAGCAAACAAACAAACAAACAAAGTAAAGAATCTAGCCCCAAAGATCATATCTAAATGCTCATATACAGTTGGGTTTTTTGTTTGTGTGTGTGTGTTTATTTTGAGATAGGGTCTCATTATGTAGTCCAGGCATGGAACTCACACTGTAGACCAGACTGACCTTGCACTCACAGCGATCCACCTGCCTCTGCCTCCCCAGTGCTAAGATTAAAGCTGTGTGCCACCATGCCTGGCTTAAAATTTCTTTAAAACGACTTCTTATTGGAAGCTTCTGCTGGACTAAGGGCAGAGTGGAAGGAAAGTAGTGAAACAGACGGAGCTGCCTGCCCTGCCCTTGGGGAACTAGCAAGGCTTTTAGAACAAATGACCACACACACACACACACACACACACACACACACACACACCACACCACACACACACACACACACACACACACACACACACACACACACACACACACACACACACACACACACACACACACACACACAGAGTTTTCAATCTTTTGGAAACTCTCATTGTTTTAAATGTCTATGGGCCTTTTTTTTTTTTTTTTTTTTTAACCCAGGTGTTCCGTGTAACATTTTGTGTGTGTGTGTGTGTGTGTGTGTGTGTGTGTGTGTGTGTGTGTGTGTTACAATGCCCAAAGGGCTGTACCGCTAACCAGAGCAGACACCCAGATTTTAAGGAGTGGTTGCTTCTGGCAGTGGATGGAGATTCATTTAATCACTGGTTACTAACTATATTCTCATCAGGAAGTAAAATAATAGTTTCAATGAGAACTAAGGTTTTTCATACATACGTGTACTAATTAAACATGCCAAATACTTTAAAACTCTTATACTCAATGGGCCCAGCTAATAGACTTGCTAATATTCAACAATTCTCAGGAAGCTTCCATCTGGTCTAATAATTCTGCTTTAATATTACGTTTTTTTCTATTTCCCTCACCTATCATAGTCAGTGTATGTTTTACATTTTCACCAAGTTAATCATGAATATAAAGTTAAATTTAAGCACTTCCCCAAAGAGCAACACTTTGGATGTGACCGGAAGGGAGCGGCTGGGCCAGTGACATACTACATGTCGATAGCCAACAGAAGCTTAGGTTGAGAAAACAGCACCCTCCACAGATCATCAGAAAGTGGAAGGATGTAAAACACAGACTCTCGGGGCTGGGAGCACAGCTCAGCTGCCAGTATGCATGTCAATCTCCAGTGCCACACAAATAAAATACTTGGGAGGTGAAGAAATAAACTGTCCACTCTACTAATATGTATTAAGCACTTTTTGTTTCATTGGTTGATTTTGTTTGTTTGTTTGTTTGTTTTTTCCAGATAGGGCTTCTCTGTGTAGCCCTGTCTGTCCTGGAACTAACTCTGTAGACCAGGCTGGCCTTGAACCCAAATCCACCTTCCTCTGCCTTCCGAGTGCTGTGATTAAAGACATACACCACCACTGCCCAGCCTATCAAATACTTTCTAACCCATTCATATGAGAAACAAACCTCATTATAAAATTACCAATTTCAGTAATCAGACAGTTTCTCTTAAGAAAGGCTGGGGATGGGCAAGGGGATGGCTCAGCAGGTAAGAGCTCTTCCAGAAGTCCTGGGTTTGATTCCCAGTATCCACACAGTGCCTCATAACCATCTGTAACTCCAGTTCTAGGGGACTAGACACTCTTCACTGCACCAGGCATGCATGCAGACAAAACACTATACATATAAAATAAATACATAAATAATTTTTAATTAAAAAAAAAAAGACCACTAAGGGCATACAAATCCATAGTGCTTTCTGAATCAGAAACAGAACTGGATTGCTCTGGTGTTAAGGGTGAACATGTGCTGCCCTTTGCTCTGATTCACTGGCAAACACTGAGCAGTAACTGGGCCCGCTGTGATGTGGAGCTGTGAGGCTCCAGTAAACCCCACCTACTATTAGCTGGCATCTTGGAATAACACCCGAAGGATCATTTAAGGCTCTGGTTTCTTTAAAGATTAAACACAGAAGCTGCTTGGCTGCCTGTTTCTGGTTTCCTTTCCATCAGCGCCCCTTAGCGGTTGACTCACAGAACAGTGCAATATATCAGTTCTATGGGGCCTGCCAGCAGAGGGTGGGTGAGCTCACCTAAGGGCCTCTTTGACGGTAATCACAATGCCACCGTGCATGGCAGCTCTGAACTGACACTGAGGATGGAGGGAGGGCACTGCCTTGTCCAACCCCGAAAATCCTTTCAGGCTGGCAACTGCCTTCTTCCTTTCCAGCTTCACCAGAATCCATGACAAGATCTCTTGGCAAAGTGACCTGGCAGAAAAAGCAGTTATGAATGAATGCGCCTGTCATCATACTCCACGCAGCTAACAAGCTATTCGGAAAAAGAACGAAAGGCTGTCAGGTCCCCAAAAGCTGCCCCGTCACTGGCTGCTGACACAGAATTTCAGAGTGCAAATGCCCTGGAAGTCACCCAGGGACAGCCTAACCCTTGGTTCTCGAAGCAGCTCTGGTCACCACGTGAGCACCATGTGATTTTTCTTTCTCTTCCTTCAAGTGTGCTCTACCTGTGCTGAGACACTATGAATGAAAGCTTCCACTGAAAAACAAATTCTTCTCAGGGTATCAACAGCTGGTGACCAAGAAATAGCATATCAGCAAAAGACTGATGATTCCTTTATCAGTGCCTCTAACCAGAAGAGGCTGGAATTGATACCCGCACCCTCCTTGTCAGTCTTTGATGAGAATGGAACAGTGCTAGAGGTTTTTTTGGTTTTGTTTTTTCTATTTTTTTTTTTTATTTTTTATTTTTTATTTTTTGGTTTTTCGAGACAGGGTTTCTCTGTAGCTTTGCGCCTTTCCTGGAACTCACTTGGTAGCCCTGGCTGGCCTCGAACTCACAGAGATCCGCCTGGCTCTGCCTCCCGAGTGCTGGGATTAAAGGCCTACACCACCACCGCCCTAGAGGTTTTTTTAAGATTTTCATTCTTAGGCTGGACATGGTTACACAGAGTTGAGTATCTTTCTTCACCATTAGTCATGCTGTGAGTTATTGAGCTATTTGCCAGGGCCTGTGCCAAGGACTCCAGTGCACATTGTCTTCACAGTAACCCAGTAAAGAAGTACTACTGTTGTGTACCAGATTACATGCCAGGTTTTCTTTGCTTTCTCTTTTTTCTCTGTAATGCTAAGGATCAAATCCAAGGGTCTCACGCGTACCAGGCACGTGCTCTACTACTGAGCTACATCCTTAGCCTTCCCCAAATCAAAATTCTATAGACTTCAGAAAGGATGTAACTATAAACTCTTACCATGTGGAAGAAATGCCACAAATGACTGAAAACAGGTAAAACAAAATCAATCTTTCTAAAAATTAACTTGTTCATTTAATTTTATGTGTATGAATGTTTTGCCTGCATGTATGTCTGTGCACTGCGTATATGCAGTGCTCACTGGAGCCCAAAAGACAGCATCAGATACCCAGGGACCAAAGTTGCAGTTGTCAGCTACCATGTGGGTGCTGGGAATCGAAGCAGGGTCTTCTGCAAGAGCAGCCACGGCTCCTAAACCACTGGGCCATCCCTCCAGCCCCTAAATGAAGCAGTTTTAAAGTAACACAGAAGTGTTTTCTGGATGACTGAGAAGCCCCTTCCTTTTATAATGAACACTCTACATCATTAGTGCCAAATCCAGGCTAAGCTATGATATATTACATTCACATCCATGCTTTTCAAACTTGTTCTCCAACACCCACCAGGACATTATGATCCATCACCTGTTCCCTCCTTCCCAGAGACAGTAAAATACAGCATTTCTTACTGATCAAACAATGGCGTGTTTATCCATGGAAATACCTTTCACTTCTATTGTATAGAACAGGCTACAGAAAATCATCCCAAAAACTACATCCAATTCCCCTCAACCTGCAAAAACCTTGTTCTTTTCTGTATAACTGAGTGAGAGAATCCCCAAACATCTTCCTGCCTTTGAAAGAAAATAGCGTGCTAATTTAAAGTTCACTGTTTACAAACAAACGGGACTCTAATTATAAGCAAATAAATTCTGTTTGCCTACCTTATGTGAGACACACTCTGCTTGGTAAAACAGTAGAGAGAAAAGAGCACCCCGAGGAGCGGCAGCAGGGCGTCCAGCACCACGGGGAGAGGCTCGTTAGCCACCACACACACCTACGGACAAGGACACGGTGAGACAACCCACAACACCGACCTCCCACAGAACTCCGAGTTTATCTTACACAGCACTTTCTTCGAAGTCTAGTCCAAGGCTGTGCTGAACCTGGCGATGGAACTATGTTGGCTGGAAGCAGCTAACGGTGCGTGAGTTCCAGCACCTTCTCACTGAAACCAGCCCAAAGCCAGGGGGTTCACCCATTTCCTGACCCCTTTCCTTCCTAGCTTCTGGCTGCCTCTGAGCCCCCTGATGTATCTACTGTGATCTGGACAGTAACTGTCCTGTTGCTGAAGGCTGATTAACAGTTAACTATTAACAAATAGGGAAACTGAAAACCAGTCTGAAGGACGAGGCCTTGAGCTCAGTGGTGGGGCCTGTTCGGGACTAAATCTTCAGAGCTGAAAGAAAAGGGAAATTAAACTAAAACCTAGATTAGAAACAAAACAGCTTACTGTGGTTCATCACTTTCAGACTATGAAGCTATATGGCTGTTCTATTCTCTCCAAGTCAAGAAATACTCAAAGGATATGTTCATGGTAGCTCACAGTCCGAAACCCCAGCCTTCAGGAGACCAAGGCAAGAGGATTGCTGTGAGTTTGAGGCCAGCTAGGGCTAGAGTAAGAAACTCTATCTTTAAAGGGGGGACATTATGGCTCATCTCTATAATCCCAGTAGCATCGAGGCAGAATCAGGAAAATCACTGAAAGTTTAGGCCAGCCTGGTCTACACAGCAAATTCCAGGTTAACCTTGGGTATACAGCAATCATCTTTAAGGGAGAGACAGTAAGTTGGTGTTGGGGAGACAACTCAGTCACTTGCTGTGAGAACATGAACATCTGAATTTGATCCCTAGCACCCACATAAAAGCTGGGCATAGCCACAGGGTGCCTGTAACCCTAGTGCTAGGGAACAGAGGCAGAAGTATCCCCGGGACTCATTGACCAGCTGCATGAGCCCCAGTTAGTGAAAGACCCTGTCTTTCTGAAGACAGCCAACACTGACCTCTGGCCCCTGCACGTGCATTCGCAGACATGCTGACATATACCCATGAACATGTACACATACATACAACACACAAAAAGTGAATGTAATAATCACGTCGGTATTTATATAAATTATAGTAATCCGAAACTGGACATGGTGGCAAATGCCTGTAACTCTAGTACTTAGGAGACAGATGGGAGGATTGCCTCACTTGAGTTCAAGCCCAGCCTTGTATATACAGTAAATTCCAGGCCAGCTAGGGCTACATATCACATGGGGTGTATACACACACACACACACACACACACACACACACACACACACACACACACACACACGCATGCATATATAAACTCCCTGTTAGTTTTAGCAGCTTTACTTAAAGAACAGAGAAACTTAAAAGAGAGTGCTGGGGTACAAATCAATGCTACTTCTGAGAGATGAAAGCTTATGGAGGGCCACATGTAGACTGGGAAAAGCTGTTTTTCCAGTAAACCCTGTCTCTTTAAATTAAATGAACTCTAACTTTCCACGTTCCTCATGCCTCCTGACTCCTCTGTGGAACCTGATAACTAAAGAGTCTGCTTCCTGTGCACGATCTAATTTCCATAAGCTGCAAATGAAGGGCCTTGAAGGGCTGTGTTCAGAGGTAATATGCAAGCTAATTACAGCATCACCAACTACAGGAGGTAGAAGAAGAGATCTCCCAGATAACCTAAGGGCCTATTGTCTGGCTCTGGAGCCTGTGTTCTCAGAGGTAAGTGCTGTGGAGCCATCCTTCCGCACCAGCATCTTTTGATGGCTTGATAAAGCCAACACACTTTTAATTTTATTTTATTTTTTTGCAGTGCACAAGACTGAGCCTAGAGCCTCAAGCATGCTAAGCATGCCTTCCACCCCAGAGCCACACCCTGGACTCAAACTTTAACAAGGCCTCAATCAAGCAAATTTCTCAGAGGCATATATTTTTGTTGATCCTAAAACTCACTAAAACTTTTATGCATTTTCCAATAAGAAATCAATGATTTTCTATTTAGAAAAAAAACCTGTACAACTATTTATACAAATATAATATTTTATACAAAGGCTCAGCAAAATGTACTAGGTGCCAGCTAAATGCCAGGCAAGCCTGAGGTGCTGTGAATACAGGGATGAGCAAAGCTGGCTTTGAAGAAGCTTACATTCCCATGACGGGGACAGAAAACCACCACTAGGGAAGGGAAGGGCTCTAACTAAAAAGAAGTATATAAACACAGCAATAGTTTTCAGATTTAGAGACAATGTCGTCCCTTTGGCTTAACTTGATGAATGGTATTTTATTGATATTTCAAAGAATTCAATGCTTCTGCTTGATACATACACGGTTACCACCTCTTTTCCAATGTCAATAGTATTCCTTTGTGAACTGAGCCCAAGTCTATACCTGCTAAGTTTCCTTGACGGAAAATAGTAAATAGTTTTGTCTTTCCATAAGTCCTGGACTGACTGGGACAATAATTAAAAGTCAGGCATGGTGGTGAACGCCTTTCATTCTAGCACTCAGGAGGCAGAGGCAGGAGGATCACTATAAAGTTCAAGGCCAACCTGGTCTACATAGAGAAATTCAGGACTATACAGAGAGACCCTGCCTCAAAAAAAAAAAAAAAAAAAAAAAAGGAAAGAAGAAAGGAAGAAAAACAAAATCCAACTTCTTTTGTGTTCTGTAAAAATTGTGCTATTGTGCTACATCTTAATGACCAGACTGGATGCTGTAATGGATGCAACTGGATGTAACTGGATGCAGGCAATACTACTCACTTCATTTCTTTTTTTATTGTGCCAGGCAGTGGTGGCGCACACCTTTAATCCCAGCCAGTACTCGGGAGGCAGAGGCAGGGAAATCTCTGAGTTCAAGGCCAGCCTGATCTACAGAGTGAGTTCTGTAATAGCCAGGGATACACAGGGAAACCTTGTCTCAAAAAAAGAAAATATTTTTTAAAATGTATTGAATTTTATTTACTTGTGCATGTGTGTATATGTATGTGTGCATGATCATGTGTATGTATATGTATTATATGTGTGTGTGTGTGTGTGTGCATGAGTGTGCACATGCATGTGTGCAGCATACATGTGGAAATCAGATTATTATTTGCAGGAGTCAGTTCTCTCCTTCCATATTATTTTTTGGAATTGAACTCAGTCCATCAGATGTAGTGGCAAGCAAGTGCCTTTACTCAATTAGCCATCTTGCTGGCCCCAACAGTACATTTCAAATGACCCAGCTCAGGGCTGGAGAGATGGTTCAGCAGTTAGGAGCACTTGTTGCTCTTGCAGAGGACCAGGGTTCGATTTCCAGCACCCACATTGTGATTCACAACTGTCTGCAACTCGAGTTTCATGGGATCCAAAGATCTCTTCTGACCTTCACAGGCACCAAGTTCACATAACTACATGCAGGCAAAACACACATACACATAAAAAACAAATTAAAAAAATTGTTTTTATGACCCAGCTCATGTTCTGCCAATTTTAGGCACCTATTTTATATTTTGCTGTTTCAAATATTTATTGAAACATCTAAACTTTCAACTTGATCAAGGTGTAACAGATTTGTTTTCTGTTCTATCTGTCCTGGTACTAAAGATAACACCCTGTTTGGTTCAAAGTTTGCCTGGTTACTCCTAGTATTTATAGAAGTAAAGATCACTAACAAAATGCTAAGGGATGTAAAGCTGAAGCAGGGAAGGGAAAGACGGATTCTGAAGGTGGATTTTGAGCTCTGCTTTAGGGGGAGTGGAAGAGTGCTGTGGTTTTCAGATGAGTTGAGGGATAAAACTTAGAGGCCAGTGTGGAGCTACGAAAGCCAAAATGGACGGGTCAAAGCAGGTTAGACTGAGGATACAAAGTAATGCAGATGACCCTACGGAGTCTGGGATTTCTGGTCCCTTTCAGGAGATTTCCACATTCCTCTCTGACTGCTTCTCAGCTTTTGAAGGTGTCTGTTAATTTCTCCAGTCCTTCATACCTTTATCTGGGTCCAGAGGACTACTGTACAATGAAGGATGGATCCCTATTTCTGGACATTCTTCAGTATGTATATACTGAACACTACTGGCACTCTCTGCTTGAGTGGCAGGTCCCTGAGGGCAAGGGCTGGCCCTCAGTTATTCCTGTATCGACCTAGCAAAGCATCTGCATTCAGTAGGTACTGGCACACACTCAGTAGGTACTGCTATACACTCAGTAGGTACTGCTATACACTCAGTAGGTATGCTATACACTCAGTAGGTACTGCTATACACTCAGTAGGTACTGCTATATACTCACTCAGTAGGTACTGCTACACACTCAGTAGGTACTGCTACATACTCAGTAGGTACTGCTATACACTCAGTAGGTAATGGCACATATTCTTGAGAATAACTAGAGAAAAGACACAGTGAACAAAAGAACTTGGTTTTTATTTTCTCAAACGATCTACTTATATGAAGAAGTTATAATGTCCTGAATCTTTGTTTAGTTGGGTAAGGGCTCATGTTGCCCAGACTAACCTCTAACTCACTATGAACTTGCTTTTTTGTTTTGTTTTGGTGGTGGTGGTTGTTTGTTTGTTTGAGACAGGGTCTTATTATGTAACCCTAGCTGTCCTGGAACTCACTGTGTAGACCAGGCTGGCCTCGAACTCACAGAGATCCTCTTGCCTCTGCCTCCCAAGAGCTGGCATTAAAGATGTGCACCACTATGCCTGGTTTTTTGTTTTGTTTTTATTTTTGATTTATTTATTTTTTACTATGAACTTTCTAATCCTCCTGATTCCACCTCCCCCGTGCTAGGATTGAGTGTGCTACCACATGAAGTTGATGTGCTATGTATGCTGGGGATGAAACCCATGGCTTCCCACATGCCAGGCAAGCATCCCAGCAACTTAGCCACATTCCCCAGTCATCTCTTTACCAAACCTACAGCTATAGACCACTCGATAAGTGCTAATTAATTTAACAGGATTATGGAACCTCAACTTTGGAAGGAAAAC